ACTTGTTTGTCATCCGGGTCGCTCAATTAGTCTCATTTCGGAGCTTATAGGTATAGCTGTTCACTTTGCGTATGGTGAGAGTAAAACGTGAGAACCAAAGGTGGCTGAGGGTCGATATGACTAGCTTACTATATCAACACTAAGCAGATAATCAGTTTTTGTTAGTCAGCTCTGCATACCTATGGTGATTTTTTTTTTTTGCTTACCGGCTGCTCTGTATATTAAATCGCCAAATAATTGCACATCAGCATCAATGACGAGCATAAATTATACCCACGCTTCGAGCAAGTCGAAGTGCGGATAATATAAACATATCCAGCCGCTATGCACAGTCTCCTAAGGTCTGCACGTACATACGTAGTCTGACACATAGTCTGATGATGCAGTCTGAGCCCTGAGGGCAAATCAAAGGACACCTTTGCTAATTGCTACAAGGGCATATTGCTTGCAATGTGCCTGCTTTATTTAACCACTTGCTTGCACAGGAACACGTAATTGTTAAAGACCATTCATATTTGTTTCTCGATAAATAACCAAATATACCGATATTGCACTTCTGTGGATTAAACGTTTGAGTGAAAGCCGCCCTCATATTGCACTCTGCTCATAAATAATTTATGATTCTGCATCGGCTTTGCTATCGTTGCTAGTCCATTAACAGATGCTGGTCCACCTAGCCGCTCAGCGGCGCATATAGCTGCCAGTCTATAGCGGCCCGTCACTCAGATGTCGACTGTGCTCAGCAGAGTGATGAGCAGAGGCTAGGCTTCATTGGACCCCGTGTCGATAAACGGCCGGCTAGGTATTTGCGACTGGTGAGTTCGAGAGACACGGTTTTGTACTCGGCATGTTTGTGCGAGGGCAGGTCGGTAGGCTGCGCTCACTCATCAAAACTTCCCTTCTAAGTGGACGCATTACATATCGGAGCAGTCAAAGGAAGCTCGGCGTCGATTGAAGATCATCCCTGTAACCTTTTTTCTTTGCAAACATTGAGAGGCACAGCTGCAGTGGCATGCAACGAGTATGTTTAATTGCAGCGTGTTATTCAAAACAAATCAGCAGCCCTTTGCGGAAGCCAGTCCAGTTTAAGCACCTCACCACGACTCCAATGTGAGAACACATATCTCAATCAATAACGGATTAACCGATGTAATAAGCGTCCAGTAGAATTCATCTGTGAGATAAACAGCCTTGAGCCCTTCTAAGCTGAAACACCTGCATATTTTTTACGATCATAACTGACAAAAATGAGTATCTACACGCAATCACCTGATATTTCTCTATCTTCAAAGAGCAGTTGAAAATCATGTACTAATAGATGCATAAAAGTCTCATTTTTTTGTAAGACCGACGCATTTTACATCACGTAGACACCGTAGATGATTATACCATAGACTTGGTCAAAACCGTTTGATAGCTGCTGATAAAGAGAGACGAGAGACGTTGTTCGTCGAAGATGAAAGAAAAGTAGACTGGGAGCTCAGCTGATGAAGAAGGGAGACTGGAGAGATAAAGCTTCAGTCAACGATTGGGGGAGACGAGAGCTCCTGCCGATGAAGGAGGGAGACGGAGACTCCTGCCGATGAAGGAAGGAGACGGAGACTCCTGCCGATGAAGGAGGGGGAGATAAAGCTCCTGCCGATGAAGGAGGGAGACGGAGACTCCTGCCGATGCAGGAGGGAGACGGAGGCCCTCCCCGCTGCGCCGCCGGCCACCAGTTTACCTTGGAGCCGGACGCCGCCCGCGGCTCCGACCTTGCATGCCGACAACGGTTTCTTGCCATGAGGCGCGGGGGCTGTCTGGTGTCGGATGGGGCGGCGGTGGCGCGCGCAGATCACACGCCGTTGTGGGCGTGTCGGCCCGCGGCCCGGGCGGGGTCGGACCAGCCCGCTCCGCGGTCCATTTATGGTCCGACGATGATCCGTCGGAGGTCCGTCTGAGCTCCCTCGTCTATCCGCCTGTGCTCGACCTGTCACCCTCCATGGTCTGTTCTATCTATCCGTGCTTTCTGTGAGGACCATTTATTGACCTGCCCAGCGGTCCATTTATATCGCCTGCCGTCAGAAGTGTGTGTGTGGGGATCAGATGGCGACCCGGGCCGACACCGGCAGACGCTGTCAGCGCCAGAGACAGCCGGTCGGCTGGAGACATGAGGCCGCGGAGACAGCGGAGCTATAAAAACGGCATCGAAGGACAGGCCCAACCACCGCCCGATCTTCAGAACACTGGAGCATTTCCATAATCTACCTTTTTTGCGATCACTGGAGGTTCATCGCCCTAAAAACCGATAAAAGTTGTAAAAGGTTTTTCGATTAAAAAATAAACCCATAAAAACATGCGTAAGATGAGCAGTTGAGCTCTTTTGTATTAGGAGTAAGATACGTGTTGATCTTATTGACGGGATTGTGTACTATAAAACAAAACGTCTACATCTTTCTGCATACTCCATACCTGCATCCCTTCCTATAGGTGATTCCCGTATATCTTGTCATGCGTGCAGCCGCACCTTGCGTAACTTTTCAGCAGGCTGCAGAGCCTCAGGAAGTGGGCCCACTCGGCAGCGTAGTAATAGTGGCCGTGAGAAGAGGGCATCCACCCCGCACTGGTCCGGAACTGTCGCCCGACCGCCCTGGCTGACACCTCGCGCTCGGCTTACCCACGTAACACGGGGTTGTGCCGGCCCCGGAGTCACGCTCGGCAGTTCTGGTCGACTGGCGACCGGCCAGGACCGCCGAGACTCCGGCTTACTGGCGACACTGCGCACCATGCCCCGGCCGGGAGCACTCGGGGTGGCCAGGACCGGTGACCGCCGCCGCCACCTCCCGCCGCCATCAAGGCCACCGGCGGCGGCGGCGGCGGCGGCGGCGGCGGCGTCATCGTGTCGGGGGCCGCGCGCGTCTGTCAGCTCCGTTCTGACACCCCGCGCCCGGCCGGCCGGTCGTCAGGCGCGGGTCTAACGGAGGCCCCCTGCACTGGCCAGACGGCCGCGCCCGCTCATCAAGGTCACCAGCAAGGTCACGGTCAGTGAACCGCTCTCAGAGAGAAGAAGAAGTCCCGAGTCCGGGCCTCAGGGGGAGAGGACATGGAATCGGCGGAGACACACCGGACTATGTCCGTGTGATTCACGCCGCCAAAGTGTAGAGACGGCCAGGGAGAGAGAGAGAGAGAGAGAGAGAGAGAGAGAGAGAGAGAGAGAGAGAGAGAGAGAGAGAGAGAGAGAGGGGAGAGGGAGAGGAATGAAAATGTTAAAAACAAGAGGACCAGAGGAAAAATGCGATGGTGGCCTCATCAGGCCCGTTTCTGTTAAGCTAGAGCAGGCAGTTACGTGCTAAAGTCGCGCTCTCACTAGCGTGGGCAGAGGACTGGCCTTTTGTGGCTCGAACATCGGCGGACGTGGGAGGAAGAGGGCGAAAATGAAGCTAGCTGGCCGCAGGGATGGGCGGAGAACACCCATCTTCGCTTGTATTTACTATCGGAGGATAGGTGCTCGTGTCAGATTGATCGCGGGATATCGCAAAAATCAGATGGGAGAAGTAATGTGAAAGGATGCCTACTTCCTCTGCTCAAAACCCATATGACTCAACACTCAACAGTGCAAGCACCTGATAAAATCAGGGAAATAAATAAATTGCCATCAGTGCCGACAGGTTTCAGGTCCAGTTGGCAAGTAGAAATATGTTTTTTTTTTTTTGCCAGAGTACCGCGTAAATATCTACTGACGGGATCAGGGTATGGGACGTGTACTCAGTCCCACCAGTTCCGTCATCAGTGCCCAATTTGATTGCTGCAAGTGTGAATCTATTACAGGCTGGCTAATCCATAATACCTCACTTTTGACCCGGTTATTAGTTGTTTAATCTAGTGATGCAGAGGGCCATGACTTACCACCACGTTGTCAGTTCCTCAACGTTAGCGAAAATAGGCAGTCCGTGCCCATCGATCACGAGTCCAGCCGAGGGCAGTCATTATGAGTGACGTCACACAGTGAGTAAGCTCCTCTCGGACCGGAGATGACCCAGCCAATTATACGCTCCCAGGCAGCCACACGGGAGGTCCCGCCCCACGGCGTGAAGTAACTGCTTCCTCATGCATTCAGCCGTACCGGACCTGGCATTTTGCAAATCACCGGCGGCAGACGATTTAATAATTTGACGTCATCAAATTATCATCAGTTTACACACACGCCGTCTGGAACCTACATCAATTGTCAGTGTCTGAGTGTTTCCTCAACCCGGACAGCCCTGTTCAACCCATCTTCGGGGCAGCGACCTGCGATGTAGGCAGTTCAGTGAACCCGTCACGTATACGCTACCCAGACATTGATCCAAGTAGATAATTGATTTTCGGAGAGAAATACCAGGAACCCGGCGATGAAAACGTGATCGACATCAAAAGAGTTATGGAAAAATCAGCGACAGTACTGTCACTGAGCTCTATTTTTTGGCAGTCAACTGACCAGTTCCGTCATCGGATTGATCATCAACTTCAGTCACTCGTGATGCCCTCCTTGTCCATCGTACAATTACATACGTCAGTTACGAGTGGAAAATTTGTGCAGATGTTATCCGTCTTAATTAATTGGCGACCAACTGAGCCTGTGATATCATGATCTATTACACGAAAATAAATTAATATGATGATCTTATTGACACCTTGCACAGTAAAATAGTAAAAGCACAGTGATATACGAATTACAAGTTTATAGTTTGATGGTCTGGACTTCAGTGCATAATTACTACATTTTCCGCCATAACTTGATAGCAGAGTAGTGCTCCTCAGAACTTGTCGGCTTTCAAAGAACTTACTCATCCTTTCCAGTTTATTGTATACCTTCATATCCTGCTGTTCGTCGACCAGTATCCCTCCCCCCTCACATACCGCTCAGTCTGCTGGGTACGCTGAATCTGCTGGGTCCATATCTGACCAGCCCTCCCCCTCTCACAGATGCCACTGAGTCTGCTGGGTCCATAGGTCTGACCATCTCTCCCCTCCTCCCACAGATGCCGCTGAGTCTGCTGAGCGTGACCTGTCTGCTGGCGACGGCGGCGGCGCGGCCCCAGTTCAGCCCGGCCTCCAGCTACAGTTACCGGTTCGCCGGTCCCGAGCAGACCAAGGAGGAGTCACGCGACGCGCTGGGCAACATCCAGGGCTCGTACAGCGTCACCTACCCGGACGGCGGCGGCACGCTGACCTACAGCTACTCACACCGCGCCGCGCCGCCCGCCTTCCGCACCCTGTCCGACGGACCGCTCGGCCCGGCCGGCACCGTCGTCGCCATCGGAAAGGTCCGTGTATAGGTACTGGGTTGGGGCGCTGTTTACTCACTCACACAATTATACCGTCGCATTTCGCTGTCAGATATTCACATCGTTGCACTGTCATACATCCGTTTTATAGGCACTGCTTCATTATTATCAACAGCCAACAGTCAACACACTGGCATGACCATTGAGTCATGTGAGACCAGTGATAATTCTGGCCACCCTGCCGCTCCAAAGTTCATTGACACCGCCACAATCTAAACAAAATGTGCCTTTGTTCGGGTTCTTTGCCCTGTTTTCCGGTTGGGAACAGTCGGAACAGGTATTATGTAACAGAAGCTAATTGGTATCCATCCCGACTTAGAGGATGTCTACTTGCTTCGAAGCTTGATTTCATATCACCTCAGATTACGTCACATTCCCGAGCCTGTGATCCCAAGCTAGATTCGTAGATGATATAGACTGAGTCAGAAGTGAACGGTTAAGACGTCCATGAGGGAAGTGATGTATGTGATTGAATTAGGCTCGTAGAGCGAATGAAATCATCATTAAAATGGAGTTTCGGTAATGGATACAAAACCTCTTGACACTTCACGTAGTTATAGTTATGATTTTGAAACGATACGCATTCAATTGGAGGTATAAGTGCAGACATAAATGATACAAACCTAATGAAACCGTTAGTTTTAGTATTGACTTTTGAATGCATTCTGCTCAGTGTTATTCAACGTAGATTCTACATATAGTCTATGGTTATTTCATAGCCACATTCACCGTTTCTCAGATAGTTGCCTCTGTATTCACAACCCTCCCGCCCGCTGCTCCGCAGAACTCGAAGGACAACGCCTTCCTGATCGAGATGCTGCAGAACCGTATCGAGTCGCGTGACCCGCCCAAGGTCACTGAGACGGACGCCGTCATCATCGAGGCCCTGCCGTTGGAGCCGGAGCGTCCCGTGACGTCTGTGCGGTTCCAGGCGGCACCCCGGCCCGGTCAGAACACGGCCAGCAGTGGCGCCGACGGCCGGCCCAACGAGATACGCACCGGGGGTCGGCCGCTGACCCGCGGCAGCGCCGGCTTCACCAACAGCAAGGAGTCGGCGTTCCTCGGCGAGATCCGCCAGGAGAGTCTGGCCAACGAGGTGCTGGGCGGCAGGAACCCGCCGCTGGTCACCGACGAGGCCGTCATAGTGGAGGCACTGCCCCTGGACGCTGAGCGCGGCATCTAGACACCTCGCGGGCCACCGAGAGTCACAGCGGTGTGAGATGGGCCTCCGTGGGCCTCTGTGGGCCGCGGGGGGCCTTCTTGGGGCCGCCGTGGGGCTCTGTGGGGCCTCAATGGGGCTCTGTGGGCCTCCATTCCCAGTGTAGGTCTCCGCGGGCCTCCGTGGGCCAGCGGGGACGGACTAGTCGAGCGGATGTGTGCCGAGCCAGTTACCAGGCCCGCGAGGGCCTACTATATCGAGTGGAACGCGGTGTACTTCTACTTACGTCTCTAAGGTGGGCATGACCCGGGGAGCGTTGCTGAACGATATACGCGACCGAAACGAACGATTCACTTACCCTACGGTCAGAGCAAGCGTAGTGGGAAGCCATCTGCGAAAGAAAATGACACGCGATGGCACATGACATGAGTTTCGAAGGCTGGAATGCGATCTAGAACATGAAGTGAAAGTGTGTGAATGATTTGTGGAGAGATGAACTTGATTGAGGCTTACTATATATAAGACGTCACATGTTACCAATAAATTGTTTCACAACTGCATTCAACTAATAACCATAATGTTTTTTTTTCTTTTGGCATAACGTAGATAAATAAGGTCTTCTGCTTCTATCAGTAAATCACTGCAATTCCATCGTCTCGATATTGAAAGAAACTGTGAACTTGTTTCACTTTGTTTGTCGTCACATTGCGCCATCCCTTGGCTATCAGTTCATCGCTTTACTAAGTTACCAAGTCCAGTGAGTTACCCATCCACACTGAGTTACCAACAATCACTCGGACAAAGTGGACTGTTAGGCAAGACATCGCCAGTTGTGAGGCCATCCTCAAGGGCATAGCTTGTAGGTACATCGCCTTATTATGCGCTAATTAAGGTTTTAAATGAATGCATCTTGGTTGAATCACAATGATGTTTATAGTTAATAAGTAAAGTTAGGTCTTCATCTATTTCAACGATAGGAGCCAAGCGTTTCACAAAGACAATTTGATATTATTCATTCATTTCATTTCAACTAATACCATTATATGAGTACCGCTCTTCATATTTGATGCAATTTTCGTTTAACCACCGACCTATCTTTCATCGTTATGCGATGTATCATCTGTTCTCGTGTTTCGAATTTTGGGCATATCGTGTTATAGTCTGTTCCATATCAAGCTTGCAGTCGGAGTTTTTTCGGCAGATCGCTCCTCCGCTCAAGAATTTGCGTCTTATATAATGTAAGAGCTGTATATACAGCAATCAGACACTGCTTTCAGCAGGGCACTTCGGCTGCAAGCTTAAAACGGAACAGAGTATAGTGCCTGAGAAATATACGTATGTCGCATGTAAACGCTGGAAATACGTTCATGCTTTAGGGATATGACTGTCACTGTAGTAGTTGCTGCAATAAAAGGAAATCGTAACAACGCTGAATTGCTGAGACGTCGACATTCAAAAAATATGTGCGTCATTCTGACCCCACGATTAGTTCTGAAGAATTGCTTCCACGTGCACAGTGTGTGCAAAAAAAAAATAAGTGTCACACAACTTGTAACGTTCCATTTGGTTCGAATGGTTCGCTTTAGCCCTTGAAGATCCAAGCATGGTTCGGAGAAGAGGCGAGCTGAACGAATGAAAAGGGCATGTCTCTATAGATAGCATGCCAAGCTTATCATGTGAAATGCGGGGCATTGTGAGTGCAGTGAGTCCATCATCCGATTTGGAATTAGTTTCTGTGCCTTTTTGGTGAAGAAATATATCCCGCGCACTGACGGGGGTCGGTTATCCGCCCCCCCC